CTGGTGGGATTATGGGTAGTCCGGAGCAGCATACACATGCACACAAACTCAGGAGATCCTCTTGTGTAAGCTTTTATGGCTCATTCACACCTTTATGTTTGGTAGTTTTTTTTTTGTCTGATGGAAATGCACCAAAATGCAGGACAACGTGCAACAATCAATCCTTAACGCCTATGATAAGGCTGTGAAACGCGTCAGCGGAGATGTTACATTAGAGTTAACAATATAAAAGGTGCAATTCAGTGATTCTAATAAAGTAAATTGAAATGAAAAAAAAAAAAAAAAAGACACGGGATGTTTGTTCATGATTGCATAGAGGAGGCGGATCCCTTATTGGGCCAGGCACCCGTGGATGGTAGGCGCATGAAAGCTGCCTGGAGTGGTACAATTTGGAAAGGATTGGATGCCTTGACGTGTGAGTTAGCGCGCTCTGCAGTGCACTTTACATTGCACAATAACATCTTGTGGCGCACGCTGGCATGCCTTTTGATGCATCTCCATTGCTTTCAATAGAAATGGCAAAGGTACGGATCCAGCCTTAAAGAGACGCTGTCCCCCAGCCCATGCATGGTCCTCCGCCATCTTATACTCACCTTACCTGCACTTCCTCCTCCGCCAGTGCTAAAATCAGTGGGGTCAGCGACCCGGGGGATTGATTGGCTGCTAGGCCCAGGCACCGTCACATGACAGGTCATGCTCCTTCACAAGCAGGAGGGCCGGGTATGCTTACCAGCTGCAGAGGAGCAAGGAGCTTCGAAGGAGCACAGGTAAGGTAAGTATATGGAGGGGAAGGTCTCTGCAGACACACTGTCCCTGCGCCCACTATGGGCAAGGTGACAGGGTCTCCTTAAGCAGATGTGGACAAATAAATGCAGCCTTGAGGAGTCGGTTGGTGCAATCTAGGACCCAGCAGACACTTTCAAAGTGAAACAACAAGTGATACCTTCCTGAACCTGAACTCCAGGCAAATAACAAAGGACTAATATGTCTGTCCATCCAGTCCTAAGATCTACACAGCAAAGGCAGATGATACCGCTTTCTCCGTTACAGGGATAGGCTGTAGTAGGGACGCAGTGGGGTCCTCTCTCCACCCCAAGCCTGCTGACTGGACAGTGAAAGAGAAGGAAAATGCTGAGGTCATCCCTCTGCTCTCTCCTGCTATCACCATGTTTTTTGTCTCTCCATTTGCATAAAGCACACTAGATTGGCTCATTCTCTTGCAGTCTGAATGCTGCTGTGCAGGGAGTGTCATGACTAAGTTGTATTCAGGTATTTGCACGGCTTGGATTGATGCATGAGTGATTATAGAGCTGCATTCAGCTGTGTCTTTCATATCTGCCTGGATTTTAACTTCAGTGTGACTCATTTATGATATACAGGTGAAACTCGAATAATTAGAATATCGTGCAAAGTTCATTTATTTCACTAATGCAACTTATGCGGTGAAACTAATATATGAGAGAGACTCATTACATGCAAAGCAAGATAATTCAAGCCGTGATTTGGCACCATTGTGATGATTATGGCTTACAGCTCATGAAAACCCCAAGAACCCCAAATCCACAACCTCAAAAAAAGTAGATTATTACATGCAATCAATAAAACAAGGATTGTACATAGAACAATATCGGACCTCTGAAAAGTACAAGCATGCATATGTACTCAGTACTTGGTTTGGGCCCCTTTTGCAGCACTTACTGCAATTACTTTTGCACGATATTCTAATTATTCGAGTTTCACCTGTATATTTTATATATTGTATGTAGAGGACGGCAAGGCTGGGTCCTGGAAGGCAGGTATATATCACCGCTGATTGGATTGTGTTCCCTTTAAGGGCCACCAGAAGGTTAAAGGAGAACTATGGGGTCAGGGCTTTTCCCCATAGTTCTCCTTAGGGTAATGGGAGGACACAAACTAGCGTCCTCCCGTCACCCAAAGCTCAGTATACCGCGAGCTGTAGCTCTCTATATACTGAGACGCCGCAGCAGGGACGGATCCCGACATCACTGCGTGAGTGACAGCTGGCTCTGCCTATCTAGAGGCAGAGCCAGCTGTACCCGCCCCCTCCCCCGTCCGTTCCGCCAGTGCTGGAGGATCGGACAGAGGAGGGAGGGAACCCCTGCAGGGAGCCGTGACAGTCACGGCTCTCTGCATGGATAGATCGAGAAGTGAGCAAGCGACGCTATGTGTTCGCTCACTTCCCGATCTATTGAGCCGACGTGTGACAGTTTCATTGTCACACGTCGGCTCGAACTATGAGGCTGAGTGAAAATCACTCGCCTCATAGTTCTCCTTTAACCCTCTGGTGGCCCTTAAAGGGACCACAACCCAAACAGTGGTGATCTATACCTGCCTTCCAGGACCCAGCCTTGCCGTCCCCTACATTATATGCAGTCTAAACATTTAACACGGGATGCAACCATGAAACAGGATTCACAGAGCACTGCGGGTTTTCTAAACAGAGAAGCCGCAAGAGAAGGGGCAAAGTCCTACATATGATTCATTTTGCTGTTTGTGTAAGTTTCATCTTGAGCTACTGAGCTCTGTAAACAACAGGATCCATGGAGAGCTTGGAAAATGTATGGGAAAGGGGAATCAAAAATAAACTAAATTCAATATATTTTACATACCCGACTAAAATAGGCAAAGAAAAATATTATTTAGAATGTTGTTTTTATCGCCCGGATAATAAGAAAGAAAATATATGCAAAACTGAGGAAAATGTATTTTAAAAAAAACTAAATCTTAAAAATGTTACGCAGTAGGTGATCTACTGTTTCCTGGGACTGCCCGGATCGGGTCTAAAGCGAGAATGCAAACATTCCAGGTTTCAGACAGTCAGGATTCCTAAAAAAAAAACCCAATAATAAGATCAATACCAAAATGAATCTTCATTCCTGTTTATTTTGGCCTTTTTTATGGGTAAAAATGGAAGCACGCAGTCCTGGCCTGTATAAAAAATTGTCTGCTGGCACTTAGATTGGACCGAAGGCTTTTCAATTCATTTGTCCAGGCCTGACAAATGTCCTGAGCTAAAGCCTTCTGGGTATTAAAATCCAGTGGCTACCAGAGGGACCTCCAACCTTGAGGAGAAGGATACCTGGAGGATCTTGCAGAAGGACAAGAACAGGGATGTGTGGTGTCTGCACCCTGTACCCTGGTTGGCTAAGCAATGCTGAATCTGAAAACTCTGCACAATACTCTTTCAGGGCCCAGTCACACCATCGGCCGGCCGGCTCACTTTGTTTTGGGGCGGGAGGGGGCGTGGCGGTGCATTAAAGGAGAACTATGGGGTTAGGGCACAAACTAGCATCCTCCCGTCACCCAAAGCTCAGTAAACCGCAAGCTACCGCTCGCGATGTACTGAGACGCCACAGCCGGGACGGATCCCGACTTTACTGACAAGATCCACCCAGCTGGCTCTGCCTATCTAGAGGCAGAGCCAACTGTACCCGCCCCCTCCCCCGGTCAGTGCTAGAGGATCGGACAGGGGATGGGGGGAATCCCTGCAGTGAGCCGTGAGTGACAGTCACATCTTTCTGCCTGGACAGGATCGAGAAGTGAGCGAGCACCGGTATGTGTTCGCTCACTTCCCGATCTATTGAGCAGTTTCATTGTCACAGGTCGGCTAGAACTATGAGGCTGAGTGATTTTCACTCGCCTCATAGTTCTCCTTTAAACTCAATGGCACCGCAGCCACGCCCCCCGCCCGGTCCAGTGCGATCTGCAAAAAAATGCTACATGCACTATTTTTTGCAGATCGCACTGGACCGGAACGCAGGCACTAATGTGCCGCGCGTTTGGGTGCCGGCGATTACACCGGAGGGGGGGGGGTCGTAGTTGTGGTGGGTTCCATCGAGTTCAATGCACCACCACAACCCCTCCCGCCCCAAAACAAAGTGAGCCGGCCGGGTTGCGTTCCAGAGGCCGAACGCACTCTTGATGGTGTGATAGGCCCCTCACACAGAAATCTCCTTCTGCTGCTGCTCCACCATCCCACCAGGCAGTCCTGCACAGCTGCAAAGCATGTTTGGGGCCTCATAAGGCTCCCACTGGCCCATAAAGAAAACCAATATCAAGCCGCCTTCCATCAGTCTGTGATGCTTCCACAGCTCTATTAAAAACCAAGCGGACCGGAGCACTCCCACAGGCTGGCCTCTCCTAACACAAATTTGCCCCCTGGTGGGGCTCAATCAGTCATCAATGAGTCAGAGAAACCAAGCCTGTGGAATGTTCCGGTCCACTTGTACAAAATAGAATGGTGGAACCACCATAGACTGACGGAATGGGGAACAATATTGTATTGAATGCTCTTTCACAGTATTATACCAGAATGGCAAAAATTTCGGGACAATTGGCCATCATTCCTATGTGAGATTGCTCGGCATCCCATTTTGAAAACATGGGCATTCATATTGGGTTGCCCCCCAACCTCCCCCCCACCCTCAAGCATTAACAGCCTTCGTTCTTCTGTGAAGGTTTTTTCGCAAGGCTTTTGCATGTGTCTGTAGGAAAAAATTTGCCCATTCAGGAAAAAAGAGCATTTGTAAGGTAGTAATGTTGGATGAGAAGACCTGGTTCCCCATCAGCACTGCAATTCATCTTAAAAGGGGCTCAACAGTGCTCTGGGCAGGCACTCAAGTTCCTCCAAACCAAACCGATCAAACCGTGTCTTTATGTAGCTTACTTTGTGGAGAGCCTTGCTGGAACAGAAAAGGGCCATACCCCAAACTGTTGTCGCAAGGTTGGAAGCACACAAGTTGTCTAAAATACCTTTGCATACTGCAGTACTCACTGGAGACACCTGAATTCAATCATTGGGAGGGGTGTCCACAGAATTTTGGCCAGTAGGTGCGGTGGTCAGGTGTCTAAAAAAAAGTTTGGCCATGTAGAATTTTTATTTTATTTTACATTTAGTTTGGTCATTTGTCAAGTTCTTAAAATCCACAGATGGATTGTCACGGCCTGCTGTAGAATAAGGGAGTGAGTGTGTCACAGTCAACCCTGAGTCCAGGACAGTCATCTCTTCCTCTTTAGAGTAGCCAGGTATCAGTGTGTTGGATACAGTAGCAGGACTGCAGCAGGACCTCACTGAGTTCCAGGTAACTATGAGTCTGCCAGTTGGGAAGCAATGTGTGAGAGTTGAACACCTGAAGTTTAGGAGTACCCGTCTTGAGCAGGTCGTACAGACAACACCAGCGAGTCTGAAGAGCCACTCTGGTCCTGCGATTCAGGATGATCCCTCTTATAGTTTTCTTAATCCTTAGCTCTTTCAAAGATGGCAAATCCAAGTGGCTGAACACCAGCCCACGGCTCTGAGAAACATCCAAAACCTCCAAGGATTTCGATTCTATGGGGTAGGAGACGCCCAAGTCTTTCACTGGGACCAAAACCTGCAAGATCAAAGTCTTTAGTTTCGGGAGCGATCTGGTAAGTTCCTGCATGGTTTCCGGCTGGACGCTCTTGAAGACCCAGAAGTAGTTTAGCTCCAGCGTGTTCAGATGTTGGAAGTGCGTAAGAAGCGACACCGAGTGTTCAGACCAATCGAAAGGCATCTTCATGCGGCTCAGCTTCGGCGAAGTGCGAGTGAGCCGCTCGAAAAGAGTCTGAAAGCTGTTGAATTGGTCGGTCTTGGCCAGGCAGATCTGAGCCATGCTACCCGGAGGGTAGAAATCGAGAGGCTCTAAATGTGTCAGAGTCCAGTTCAACTCAAGTTCTTGTAGCTCCCCGCAATGAACGCTCTCTAGCAACTGGAGGAGAAAGTCCGCCCACTTAGTCCTCTGATCTCCTAAATCGAAACTAGCGCGGAGGACCAGTAGGCTGGCGCCTCGGGAAATGAGGTGGTAAGCATACTGGTGTACCCACTCCTTCCACCTTTCGAACTCCCTCACAGACACGAGCACCCCATCCATCCCCGAAAGGACGGCCCCGAGCCTCATGAAGTCCGCCACCCTCCAGAGCCGCGGAGTGCGCATCAGCTTGCTCCAGTCCGAGCACACCAAGGCCGCCGTGCACTTTTCTACTTCGGAGAGGAAAGTGAAGATGTGCAGCTGGCAGTCCACCGGCAGAAGATTGAATGGGAAGTAGCTTGGAGCCTTAATCCTGACCGCTTTCTGCCCCAATTTCACAGCGGAGGCCGGGGGGCCCTCAGGCGATGGCGAGTCTCCAGTTTCCGAAACCTCAGAAGAGTCTGAACGTAAGATCTTTCTTTCCCGAGACATTTTTACTTCACCCAGAGACTTCCCATACTAGAGTAACTCGGGTCATACCTGAAAATAAAGCACAAGAGATGATAAATGGCAATGGTCAGACAGAATGATAGATAATACCATAGTAGGGTGTTCCATTGGAAAGGTAAACTCTGGCCCTCCAGCCGTGGTGAAACTACAATTCCCATCATGTATCTGCAAGTCATGTCTGTGGCTGTCAAGAGCCTTGCAATGCCTCATGGGATTTGCAGCTGCACCACAGCTGGAGGGCCTGAGTTTGCCTACCCCGGATCTATAATATTCTTTTTTTTCCATAGTGAATATAAACTTTTTCTTCAGCAAATTATATTTTTAGAGTTTTGGCTAGAATGGGGAAGAGTTTAGATGTTTGGCTAATTTTTGGCTAATTTTCATTTCTGTACGAGACCCCATTGGGGAGATTTTACCTCATTTCCTGTCCCCTGTGGCACCTGCAGAAGATATGGGAGTTCGGTTGCCAATGGGACAGTAAGGCATAGAAAGCAATTTAAAAAAAAAAAATGTCCAACCCTTCCTCAGACCACTAAAAATGCTCCCGTTGGAAAGATTTCCCATCACTTCCTGTCCTGACACTGAAATTTAAGTGTTGGTGGAGCACTGGACACTAATGCACGCATGTACAGGGGGCGGCTTCCTCTAAAACAGTTGAACCTGATAGGCACTGTAGTAGTGATGCAAAATATGGTCAATAAGTGAGAGCGCCAACCAAGTCTAATACGTCAAGTGTATTTTTATTGGCCAATCTGAGTCACAGGAGAAGCCAATGTGTTTCAGGGGGGCTCACCCGTCCCCCTTCATCAGGGTCCATAGCTGCAAAATAAGAGACAAGGTAGCACACTGGACTGGGGTGAAATGGTTAAAAAGAACTGACCGCCAGGCTGGAACCTCGTGTCTGCGAGCTGTAATAAAAGGCAAGATTTAGCAACGCCACCTCAGTGACTCCATCACTGTGTAGATGAAGGACAAGTCGGTGTTCTATCGAATTCTCCAGCTCGTCGAGACCTCCAACTCCCGTCAGTGCGCCTACGAGGCCAACCATGAGAAGTATCAAGCTGTACAATCTGCGGCAGTGCGCCTGCAAGGGCACCCGATGCCACAAGCACCGACGGGAGTTGGAGAGCTCAATGATCATTTCTAAGCCGCAGAGGCGCACCTACGGCAAGAGGATTAGTCAACGAGGATTGCAAAAACTGTGACGGCTGGCGCATGCGCACTTGCGCCATCTCATCGAAATCTACAATGGATGTGACATCACAAGTTGGAGATCTCGACGAGTTAGCCACCTCGACAGAACATCGGCTCCATGCACACTGCTGGTAGCTCCACCCCCACCAAACCAGATCCCTCAGCCACAGTACCAGCTCAGGGGACCACACTGGACAACATACATCAGTGCTGTATGGAAGTCTCCACATTACGGACACAGGCTTCAACCCTTCCTGCTCTATCCAAAGCTAAATAAGCTTTGGCTTAGGCCTTTTTTTAGACCCTGTCTTACTGCCAACCTTATTATGCCTTGACTTCTCAACATTCTATGCTTGGACAATCAACATCTACACATTCCATGGTGGTTGGATGAAGGAGTCAGTGCTGCCTGTGTGGATATAAATGCTGGAGATGTTCCGGACACTCCTCAGAACTGAAGAAGTGCCTTGGAGAACCCAAGAAACGTCTTCAACATTACAGAACACGTCCAGTTGAATGTGACTATCTACTGCCAGCTCTACCATGACCTGGATACATGAGAAGCTTCACCGACCATCAGACCAAAGCCAACTGGATCAGTTTGCCCCAAAAAGAGTGGGACAAACCACCAGTTGAGAAGTGTAGACGTCTCATTCAGATCTACAGAAAGCACCCAAGTGCCCCAAGTTAGCTTTACAAAATATTGGTTTGGGGGACCATTAAAGAAGAACTATGGGGTAAGTGTTTTTCCCCATAGTTCTCCTAAGGGTCACGGGAGAGCACAAACTAGCGTCCTCCCGTGACCCAAAGCTCAGTATACCGCGAGCTACAGCTCACGGTATACTGAGAGCGCCACAGCTGGGACGCATCCCAACATTGCTGTCGAGATCCACCCAGATGCGTGATTGACAGCTGGCTCTGCCTATCTAGAGGCAGAGCCAGCTGTACCTGGGAATCCCTGCAGGGAGCTGAGTGACAGTCACAGCTCTCTGCAGGGACAGTATCGAGAAGTGAGCGAGCGATGGTATGTGTTCGCTCACTTCCCTATCTATTGAGCCGACGTCTGACAGTTTCATTGTCCCACGTCGGCTCGAACTATGAGGGTGAGTGAAAGTCACTGACCTCATAGTTCTCCTCTAATTATGTCCAGGCCAAAGTCAAGTGTCTCCTCTTTGGACACTCCCATCCAATGCCATGCCATTGGCTTATAAGGTGCCGTTGGGTAGCTGTGTCCTGTAGATATACGGAGGCACCATGTACGGTCAACCATCCTACTACTCCCAGGTGACAGGAGGCAGCAGCGCCTCGAATATCCCAAATATCTCTTTATTTACCACTTCAGCATGTAGGAGATCATTCCAGGTGATGTGCTTTGGACTTCAAATGAACGTTTAGGGACACGAAGCACGAAATATAACCCTTCCATTCTGATTTTTCATGCCCCCTGCTCTGAGGGTGGCCATCACGGGCCCGGGACAGTGTGGACATTGCTTTGTTTACAAACTGTCTGCAATGTGAATAACAAACCAGATTTTTTATTTTTTTTTACCTGATTTACCAATCACCATCCTTTATAGGGTTACCAATCTGACGTAACCACCCCGTAACACAGCGTCTCCATATTCTAGAAGGATGGTTGGCTTCCAGCTATATAAAGGCCAACAACTAGCATCTATAAACAGCACCTTCAATAGGGGCCACCCAGCCTCCAGCAACTACAGGGCTAGTACTCTTTATAGGGGGTCACGGGCCTCCAAATTCTAAAGGACCAAGCACTCCCTATGGGGGCCACCATCCTTGAAATTTGATATGGTCCACCACTCTCTATAGGGGCCACAAGCCTCCAACTACTATGGGGCACAGCACACTCTATAGGGGGGCAATGCCTTCCATTTTCTATAGGGTCCAGCACCCTCTATAGGGCCACCAGCATCCATTTGCTATAGAAACCAGCACCCTCTAACTTCTGTGGGGCCCAGGACAAGTTATTTAGGCTACCAGATCCAACTTCTATGAGGCCCAGGACCCGCTATACCAACTACTAGATCCAACTTCTATGAGGCCCAGGACCCGCTATACAGACTACTAGATCCAACTTCTATGGGGCCCAGCACTCTTAAAAGGGGTTACCAGCTTCCATGTTCTATAGGACCCAACATTCTCTATAGGGGACACCACCCTCTATATGGGTCACCAGCCTCCACCATCTAAATGGTCAACAACCTTTATAGGGGCCTCTGGCCTCCATCTGCCATAGGGCCCAGCACCCTCTATAGGAGTCAATACACTCCATGGACTACAGGGGTACCTGTCTCTGAAATCTATGGGGCCCAGCACCCTCTATAAGGATCAACAGGCTCCATGTTCTATAGGAATCCCGGCCTCTACGATCTATAGTGCCCAGGACTCTCTATATCCCTATGGGGAGGCTCACCCACCACCCTCAATTTGTTCCCCTTTGTATGAGGCCCCGCCCCTCCCCGCAAACACCGTACCGCTCTCATCTCCGCTCTGTCTTCCGTTGTCTCTAACCAATAAAGCTGTGTGAAAATAACCGGAACCTTAACAGTGGCCGAACAACGGCGGCCATCTTGGAACTCCCGGAATACTCGGCATCGCGCCGGAAACACGCTGGACGCCATGTTGGTACACTAGAAGTAGCCGGGAGCTGGGCGGAAGTCGACTCTAGTAATTGGAGGAGGAAGGTGGTGGGCTACATCTGTGTGTAAAAAAAACTCAGCGCGACCTTACACCGCCTGCATATCCACCCTGACATGATAGAGCTCCTTTCTTACCATACGGCTTCTATATTAAGGCCACACATCACTCTTAAATATCCCCATTAGCTGCTGCAAGGCTTCACATTAAGGCAGCACTCTACCCTTCCATGTAGTATTTCATTGTGTGGGGAACGCTGCTGCAGCCTTGGGGTGTCACCTGTCTGCCTAATATAACTGCTGCCTCCTAAAAATCCTTCTATCACTGTCTGTCATTCGGGGTCCGGGAGCGCGGACAGCAGCTTATGAATGAAACCTGCAAACTGGCTTCATTCATAAATATAATGTATGCACATTACCAATGTTACATTGTATTATAGAGCTCCCCCCCATTCATCTACATACGGACTCTGCACCACAGGAGCTGACAATCTAATGTCCCCCTCCACAGTCTCACACTATTATACATTAATATAGCTCTGACATATACCGCAGTGCTGTACAAAGAACACTGAGCTAGTCACATCAGTCTCTGTACAGAGGAGCTTACACTCTAATGCC